ATGTACTCGGAAAAAAGTCGGCGCTCATGTCCTTAGGGGGGACATTCAGAGCAGAGCATTCAAAAACCGCTGGTAGGTGACACTAGGACTAAGCCCAGGACTGGGAATAAATACAAGAGAGAACGATGGTTGCTCCAAAATCCTATCCCCTCCCTAAAGCTTAGTCCCAAGTTCTATCAGTGGCCCACTCATTTCAATGTCCCCCCTAACGACATGAGCGCCAAGAAGTCGTATGCGTAGGTCGACAATGAGCAGAGCAGCGGTTGCCTGTGCGGCCTGTGTCAGACTTTGCGAATCCAGCGAATCGCGGGGCATGAGCGACGCGCCAGCGATTCAAACGGTCCACCTGCGATTTGAGAAAGTAGAAAAGAGGCGACGATCCCCCTCATTGCACGTTAACTCACGTCACCTTCCCAGGCTTGAGAGGGCCAGTCCTCCACCTCTCCTGCAGTTTCAGTACCTATCTCTTTTACCTATTCAGTTCCCAGTTTACATTGTCATATTACATTATTGTTTTTCGTTACTGTTTCTTTCTGTCTCACCGATTATGACCGCTATCATAGGAGGATCTCCGATGGCCACCTTGTATGCGAACACAAGGAGCGCACTGCACGAACCCACCATAAAGAGGACCACAATCGTGACGAAGATACATGTTGAGCATGACTGTAATTCACAGACAATAATGAACTAGAATGAAATGATTTCTTGTAGTTCAGAAGAATCGGGAAATATGCGGAAGGACTAGCGGGTCCACCCGAGTAATAGGGAGATAGGGAGGGGGAGGCACTGCGGTGCACAGTCGCTCTAGTCCAGTTTGGCTCAAGTCCTTCAGAGCTAGGAACTGTTATGAGCTTTGTTCCTTTTTCCTTACGGTGCTTCTCCTAGTTTTCATATAATTTATCTGTTCTTTCGTTTTATGACATAAAAGTCGAGGAAAAGTAATATTTACCTAGTGAATAGCTAGGACTAAGCTTAGGAAGAGGGAGGAAGCCCTGGAGAAAACAAAGATTGCTCACGAACCCGGGGTTTTCCCTCCCTTCTTAGGCTTATTCCTAAACCTCTTCACTGGAAGAATATGCTACCCATGGTTTTAAGCGCTTTGAGCGATCTGATCCACATTTCCCTTTACTAGAATAGACCCGGATGACCAACTGGGGCCTGTAAATCGACTCGACCCAACCAAGCTGCAGAATCCCAGATTGATTCGAGATGCTATCGCAAGATACGGAGGCGTCTTCTAGGACCAAGTCTGGGAAGGAAAGGAGACAAGAGTTCCGGGGAATGAAATTACAATAGCTTGCACACTATGGAGTCTCTCCTCCGTCGATTGCGATGGAGGGGGAGACTTCAACGTCTTCAACAGCAAGGTGACGTTTACGCAGTATGCAATGTATTGCCATCTCCATGTCCCGTATCTTGTGATTGCGCCTGAAATCGATACCTATGTGATACCTCTCGCAGGCCCCGTTCATAGTTTGAGACTTCGGCTACCATGCGAAGATGCGATGAAGCGACCAAGCGATTCTATCAAATGAAGTGAGTGCACATCGATTGACTGGACTCCGCCCTATAGCGTCACATGCGAGATAGCGTCTGCGATCGCGCGAGGCGAAGATGCGATGGGGCGCTGAGGCGATTCAGTGGAAGGATTTGATACGTGTCGACAGTGAAGGAGTACCCAGGAGGCCCGTCCTGCGCGGCGAGAAAAGCATAGCGGACCGAGTTCGCTCGTCTATATAGGACTTGCGACGTCAAGTTAAGTAGAGTGTCCCACTTGCAACGTTCCTTACATTCGCATACCAACGCGCTGCAACCATCACCCACCGACTTTTGTTTTTTCTTTCTTCTTTCTGCCTTTCCTTGCCGCAGAAAGTGACTCCTTGGCTCCTGGGGCGGATTCATCCTTCCCCAGGCGATTACTATCCCCCTACTCTGATTCAATCCTCTGGGGGACAAAAAAGGGTTGCGTCATATTCCTGGCCAATCAGTTAGAGCAGCGCTACTACCCTCCACTGATGAAGCACTCTTTCCCCTGAGGGGTCGCGCTGCTCTAACTGTCTGGCAGGTAGAAACACAGAGGTATGCTAGGTCCTATGACGCAACCCTTTTTTGTCCCCCCAGAGGATTGAATCAGAGTAGGGGGATATATCCCCCTGGGGGAAATGGCCCCCTGGGGGGTGGGGACCCACAGATAATACTCAAGTCCATGGATGAATCACCAATCTTTGTTTATATTGCTGCTACTGCTATTATTGATTTTTAGATTTATTTATGGCGTATAGCCGTTTATATATCTTCTGTTTTTGATATTCTTCCCAGTTTGCGTTGTTTCTCCTCGCAAATTCATTGGACATTGATGGAATTGACCGACGCGTCGCGGCGCGTGCGTCTCTTCTGCGAACGTGCTACCAATCGCTTCATCGCCTCATCTCGCATATTAAGTCTCAACCTATGAACGGGCCGTAGTTATGGAGCGTTCATAGTTGACTGATCGTACGTGTGATATGGGAGACCATTTGGTTGCTAACTTAGTTGGGGGGGCCACGCGGCGGCGCGGCAGTCTGCTCACCTGGGCTCTCTCGAGCGAGACAGTGTAAACTCGAACATTCCAGCTTTTCACGCATGTCAAGTGACTGCCCCCACCCCCACCCCCTAGACTGCCTACACTCCCCCTGGCCCACGGATTTCCGAACATGCCAGGCGAGCAGACTGCCGCGCCGCCGCGTGCCCCCCCCCCAACTAAGTTAGCACCCGCCGATGAGGCGATAGGCGAGTAGGCGAGTAGGCGATAAGAGAAGGATGTGTATTGATTTGATGCTCCGCCCATCGAGCGATCGCCTAATCGCCTAATCGCCTAATCGCCTACTCGCCTACTCGCCTACTCGCCTAATCGCTCCAATCTATACGTACATTTTTCATTATAGACTAATCGCCTAATCGTCTACTCGCCTAATCGCACGTGCGATCGCCAACTCTGAACGCTCTTTTACCGACCCTACAACGGGAGACGGTCAAGAGTCGCCCTCGACTGCCGCACCGAAACTAGGTCACCGCGCGCGACATCGCTGACGTCTTTGCAGTTTGAAACATGGCAATTGGCCAAGTTTTAGGGCCCGCCTCTCTTGACGATCGATACAACACTTTTTTGTCTGTCTGTGCTATCCCCATTTCTGCACTTTGTTTTGGCTTAGTCCTGGCTAAATTGCCACGTTCCAACTTGTAAGGACATGTAGCCGCTCAATGTTGCGTTGCTTCCTTTCGCTAGCGGCGACCTCAAAGGGGGACTGCCTGCCTCGCATCCCTGCCTTAAACACTCTCTTCTTCCCCTACATACGTGGGAAAATAACGCAGTAGAACTTACACTAGACCGTTCTTGTACCTCCTCTAGTGGTTCATCGTAGGGACTAGAAGCGAACTGATCTCTTGATCCACTGCTACTCGTTGATGGTCTAGAATGGGCTCTCTTCCTGCCCCTTGCCTCCTTTCTCGTGAGCGTTTTCGCGGTGTCCATTCCAGTGATCTGTCACATAAGAACCTCATTTCCTATATATTACACATTTATTACATAGAAAATTGAAATTTTAAGAGCCTCACCGTCGCCGTGAGCAAGTGTGCCGCTGCCCGGTGTGGGGGCTCGTGCGGCAGACTGGAGCAGCTGCTGCTCGGTGGGGCGGTGGTGGGGGCTGTGGCGGCGGAGCTGGAGCAGCTGCTGCTCTTTGTGGCGGTGGTGGCGGAATCGGAGCCGCTGCTGCTTTTTGTGTGGTGGTGGTGGTGGTGGTAGGGGCGCACCCTGCAGTGGAGCCAAGCGCTCATATTGACGACCCATTTACTGTACGTGTGCTATTCGTGCTTGTGACGGAAACTGGAGCCAATGAACCTCACAACACTAAGTGACGACTTTACTAGAGAAATGGGTTACCATACCTTTTGGAATGAAATTTATAGTGTGCCGTTGTTTTCACCTACGCTGAGGATAAGTAGGACGCTGATTAAACCCTCGAAGCATACTCTTCGTAACCTAAGAGAAGATCGCCGTAAAGGCAACCATCTGCGAAGTTTTCGTCCCCCAGGGTCAACCGTTACGTTGGACCGATATTGGAGCGACGTTGGACCGATGTTCACCGCTCTCCGCGCCGGCATTCACTCTCGCCACCCGCGAGCCGTCTGTGTCTCCGTGCGTACGTTCACTCTCGGCATTACTCTCGTCGTCGCGTTGGACTTTGTCCAACGGACGGTTGACCCTGCCCGCCATCCTTCGCCTTCTACATTAACTGCGCTTGGTATAGTTGGCGAGTTGCTCGACGCATTCTCTCCTCGTTGAGAGAGCGCAGAGAAAACGAGAAGTGGGAGGCGAGCACACATGAAAATCGATAACACGTGACATTGCGCGCCCCAGTGCCAACGCTTAGCGCGTCAGTGCGTGTCAATGCGTCGCGCATTGTACGTGACTGCGGCAGGAACATTATAATTCACGCTGACTCCGTGTGCTCACCGTGTCCAAACGGCTTAAGTCGCATTTCTTGCCAATTGCCTTCTTCGGCTTGAAATAAATAAATAAATACCCCCAGAGACCACTTTGTAGATAAAGCATTGTTCAGGGACATTTCGACTAAAATCTGAATCGAGTGGGGTCACGCGCAAATCAGAACAAAGTAGGAACGCCGAGTCACTTCGTCGAGGCGGTGTAGTCCAAAAAAGTTACGAGGTTTCCGAAAGAATTTCCACGCAGTGGCGTAGGAGAGTTGGATTTACCGGTGACTTAGAATTTTCCTAGACGTATCCTCCAACAGGAGTTCGCGATCCAGAGAGCTTATAGAAGGAAAAATCGCGCCGAGATAGAGGAGAGCTCCACGCACACTTGAAATGGAGATTGTCTGGAAGAGGTAGGCAAGGCAAGGCCGCTCGATATTAAGGGCACGATAGTAAAGAAAGTCTAGCGAGACTTTCATTCGTCAACCAGCTGCAGTTGCAGCGCCTTCCACGTCGGAAATGTAGGTGATGGAGATTTCTGGAAGTACTTCACGCTGCCTTTATGTGCGCCGTTGATAAGGCGCCACTGCCCTAGAAGCGTAACGCATCGTCTCATTGCGTTGATTGGCCTATCCAAATCACTATGTAATCTTCCCATTCGTTCCCATAGGATTTCGATCACTTCCTTTTGCTTAGCCTTGTTATCTTTTGGAAGGAGGTAACCTACTTCTTAGCGCCAGTGTTGATTTAGTGTCACTTGAATTCCACAACTTAGCCAAGGAGAAATAAGCGCTTTTTTAGGTTGTACTTCCACAGCTCCGTAGTCAGCGAATTAGTTGGCCATTCTTCTACTG